CGTCGAGAGTCGGGGGCGGCCAAGAGGGGGGCGATGACCAGGGAGGGGTGGATATCATGGCGGGGGCCATGACATCTCCCCAGACATCATGGCGCCTCTTCTTGTTTCAATGCGTCCCTGGCGACCCCCCCCCCCAGGCCGCGCACGTGTCGCTGGCCATGATTTGCGCCCCCCCCCCTCTTGGACGCCACCCTTTTGGCCGGCCCCGAAAGAGTCGACGGGCGAGGGGCGCCTCCGCCCAGAACAAGCGCCAGCTTCGAGCCCAGGCCTGTCAGATCTGCACGCGCAGCTCGCGGTCAGCACGCGCGCCCGTCTTTTCCGAGCTCCACGGGCACAGGCTACAGGGGCGGACAAGCCGCACTCCGGGCTGTGGGCCGCCCTCCCTGCGGAGGAGGCCCGCCCGTCGAGGGTCCACGGGTGAGGGGCGCGCAGGCGGCCTCGGGCACCGACGGCGGTGTGCAGCAGGTCGAGGCGCGGGCAGGTGCACACCACGTGCGCGTTCGGAGGTCCGCGCGGATTCCTGGGGTCGGCGCTGGAGCCGCTCAGCGCCGATCCAAGAAGTCCGCGCGGGCCTGCGAAAGCTTGCATGCTTCTGCAATGCTTGCTCCTCGATGCCGAGGAGGGCACGGAGGGGTCCGGGGTGGAAGCAGTGCCCATGCCGCCACCCCCGCCTCGCTTTCGCCTCTGGTTGGCATCCTGTGAGGCCCTCGTCGCCGCGGCTGGATTCGCGTCGCAGTTCTGCACTGAACGCACCCCAGGAGGGGTCCGCGGAGTGGCGGTATCGGTATCCTGTTGTTCCCCTGGGGGGCATCGCCCTGCGTGACGGGGTCGGGTGCCCGTTCTGGTGCCCCCGGGCCGAAGGGGGGCAAGGGGGGGCGGGAGGAGGAGGAGGAGGAGGAGGAGGAGGAGGAGGAGGAGGAGGAGGAGGGGGAGGAGGAGGAGGAGGAGGAGGAGGAGGAGGAGAAGAAAAACAACAGAAGCAAAAAAAAGGGATGAACAAAAAAAACAGCGGCCCGAAGCCTTTTGCACCGGGGTCCGAGGCGCTGCCGCCCCCCTCGCCTCCGGGTCCAGCTCCAGCGCCTCCTCCGCTCCGGAGAGGAGGGCGGCGTGGCCCCGTGGGGCGTCCACACGACGACGCCCCAAGAGGAAAGCGCCCAGCACGGGGGGGCCCTGGGGCGCAGCACGGGGGCTGGGCCGCCCGCCCCACGCGCGAGCCCCCAGGCTTAGGTCGGGCATGCCCCCCCTACAGGAAGACGATTCAACAATAGTTAAAAAAAATACCCCGGGGACGATTCTCTTATTTTGTTGAACATCTTTGGGCCATGTCTGATTTCTCTTACAAGATCCGACATGCCCGACCTAACCCCAAGGAAAGGTTATTTTCCCAGGCCGTGAGAATGGCAGCGAACACCGGAACGAGCGACCTGGGAAGCTGCGACAGAAGCCCGGGATGGAACGAATCCCACCCCGACGGCGGTGGACGGGGAAAAGCATCAAAAAGCAGCTCTCAATACCAATACCTGCTCGGCAGAATCCGGAGGCTTGTTATATTTGCGCACCCAGGCGCCCAGCAGCGCCTCAGAAGCACGGTTATCTATTCGCTAAAGCGACATCCAGTCTTGAAGGGTCCGCTGCGTCGCAGACCAGAGGCCTTCGACGCACCCGCGGAGCAGCGGGCGGAAACCAGCCTCGGACGTCCTGCGGCGCCCCCGTTTCATGGGGGGGCATCGCAGGACGGGGCCCTGCGGGCCTCGCTTCTCCGAGGGCCATGGTCCAGCACCTGCTGCATCCGCAGCGGCTCGCTCGGGCCAGGTGGTCGCGTGCTCGCGGCGGCACAGCCGTACGTCGGGTACGTCCCTCTGCAGGGGGAGTCTTCAAACATGGTCCACAAATGGCCAGAGGACGATGCTCTGATTACTCTTGATTTGTTTAGCATGTTTTGACAATTCGCCATGTTTCTTACAACATCCGCCTGTAGGAGGGCATGCCCAAGCATAGCCCGACAAGGACCCGAGAGGGCCCTATAGCGTCCTCCTGCCAGACCGAGCCGTTATTACTCGGGCCTGCAAGGGAGGGTGCGCGTTGCAGTTGCAGCCCATGTCTCGAAAGTCATCCCACCCCTCGGCGGGCTCGGTGGCGGCGCTCGGCCCACTCCTCTGCTCTTCGGATGCGGATGGCGTGGCGTCGGAAGCCTTCGCCTCCGAGGCGTCCGATTTTGAGGCCGAGTAGGCCGACCTTGACCGCCTTCAGGGCTCTGCCGCATCTCATCTCACCTGAGCCACGGCACTGGCTCGGTAGCTTCTGGCGGGGCGCGCGCCTCGGCGGCTGGCGGCACGGACGACCCGCTGCCAGCCTGGCGCGAGGCCTCCGCAGCCCCGCACTGGCTGAAGGAGGCCCGCAGGAGGTCAGTGTGATCAGTCATCTCCACCCCGTCGGAGAGAGGACGAGGCGGAGGAGGAGGTCTCTGAGGTGGATTTCGAGGAGGGGGGCAGGAGGTGGGATGGATGATCTTATGATGGTGATTAAGACGATGGTGATGCTACCAGTGATTGTGATGATGCTGCTGATGATGATGATGATGGTGATGATGATGATGATGGTGATGATGATGATGATGCTGATGATGATGTTGATGATGATGGCGGCGACGATGACGATGATGATGATGATGATAATGATGATGATGATGATGATGATGATGATGATGATGATGATGATGATGATGATGATGATGATGATGTTCATGATGGATGACGATGACGATGACGACGATGATGATGGTGATGATACTGAGGATAAGCATGATGCTGCTGATGCTGCTGATGATGGTACTGATGATGATGATGATGCTGCTGCTGCTGCTGATGATGATGACAATTCTGACGACAGCGAGGGGGATGAGGGTCAGAGCTGTAATCACAGGATAATGCTGATGATGGTGATGATGCGGGCACCGCTAATGCAGATGACGACGACAATGATGATACTGATGTTGGTGGTGCTGATGACATTGATCCTGATGTTGCTGATGGTCATGGCGACGAGAATACTGATGATGATGTTGTTGATGATGATGATGATGGTGAACTGATGATGATGGTGATGCCGATGCTGATGCTAATGATGAGTAGGGTGAGAATGGTGATGATGATGATGCTGATGCTGCTGATGATGAGGATGATGCTGGTGGTGATGATGCTGATGATGGCGATGCTGATGATGCTGATGATGACGATTACTATGGTGACGATGATGATGTTGATGCTGTTGTTGCTGTTGTTGCTGATGAAATTGTTGATGGCGATGGCGATGATGAGCATGCAGATGAGTATGGTGATGCGGCTGCTGCTGCTGATCACGATGATGCGGCGCAGGAGGAGGAGTTGGAAACTTTTGAGTGGAATCCGAGAAGGGAGGAGGGAGGGAGGCAGACAGGTTTGGGGAGGAGGCGGAGGGGAGGAGGAGGAGGAGGAGGAGGGGGAGGAGAAAGAACGAGGAGGAGCCAATGTTTGCCCGCACCGGTTCCGCCAGGTAGGCAGCGTGAGGTCTGAATGGGTGCACGATCTCAGGCCGCACGCCCTTACACGAGGTGACCGACGTAGGACACGCGCGAGGATGAACGAGGACCACGAGGAGGAGGAGGAGGAGGAGGAGGAGGAGGAGGAGGAGGAGTAACATTGAGTGGAATCCTCCTTCCAAAGTTGGCAACCTGCGTCGCTGGGCTCTGGGGCGATGCGACACGGCAATCTATCTGTTGGTTGTGCTGGAATTGTGCTGAGCGAAAAACACTTAATGGCGGGTGCCTTTTCATGCACAGGCGTCCGCCCCACTCGTTTACATGCTGTTCTCGCGTGCGTCCGTTTCTTTTTTTTGACACGTGTTTTTCGCGTGTGCGGGTAATTTTCGCAATCGCCTCTTGCGTGCCGCCGCTGGTACACCTAACGCGCGGCGGAGGCCAGGTACACACATTTCTTCTCTGACAGAAATGCGGGAGGGGATTGGGCCAAGTAGGAGAAGCAGGAGGAGGAGGAGGATGGCGGGGAGGATGCCGGAGGTTCCTGGAGGATCGTGGTGGTTTTCGGGATCTGGAGTGATTTCCATCAGCTGCCCCTCGTCGAAGGCCGTCTGGGAAGGCTGGCATTGTCTCGAACTGCGGGCCGGGATCCAAGATTTGGTCCGAAAGTCGACTGGAGGGGGATGGACTAGAAGAAGGATCGAGGGATGAAGCACAATGACCATGACCAAGAGGTGGCGGGATCCTGTCGACTCCGATCTTGGTCATGGCCCATGCCAGCCGTCGCCGACTCGCGAGGATGGTCCACACGAATCGACCATGACCAAGGAAGACGATGGCCAGGACCGACACCGACTTTTCCGCGGTCAGTCTTGGTCGAGGTCCTCGTGTTCTTGTTGGTTCCTTTTTAGATGAGTCTGATATTCCTGTCTGCCCATTTGGGCTTCCTGGCTGGCCACCGTTGCCGCACCTCGAGATGTCCTGCTCAGAACGCGCTCCAAGGCAGGCCTGGTGTTAAGTCGGGCATGTCCCTCTACAGGTGAATTTTCGAAAATAGTCAAACAACAATCTGGGGACGATGTTTCGACTATTTTTTTGATTATTTTTGGATATTTGTTGTCCAAAGTCCGCCTGTAGGGGGACATGCCCGACCTGAGCCTGCTGGTTGATTGTGAGCAGGAGGAGGGCCCAGTCGCGAACACCATCGCGACGCGCGATACACGCGCTGTTTCGTACGATGTCGGGTTTGGTGACCTTTCCGGGGCTCCAGGGCCACCCAGACTTGCTCGCGGCTTTCAAGACATTATGCAGAGAGAGATCCTTGGAGGCCCTCTGAGGCCTCTGGAGCCTGTCAGGCGCCAAAGCACATGCAATATAAGAAGAGGAGGCCTCCAGGTGCCAGAACAGAAGAGGATGAGGCCTCCAGAAGCCAGAAGAGAGGAGGAGGCTGAGGAGGGAGCAGGCCAGGGGGAGGATGCGTGCCCAGGTGCGCAGGCTGGCGACAGCGGAGACCGTATTAGACATCAAAGAGGTCATGGCGCAAAGCACAGACGAGGCTTTATTTTGACGGCTGCTGCATAAGCCGTTGCTGTTTGCTAGTGGTTGTTGAAATCCTTGGCCTCCTCTACTTCCTGCTCCACATCACTCTTGCTCATATCTCTCCTCGTGCAGCTTCTCCTCACACCCTTTCTCGTGCGTTGGGTGCGGAGGGAGAGGGGGGAGAGAGAGAGAGAGAGAGAGAGAGAGAAAGAGAGAAAGAGAGAGGGAGGGACATTTGACGATACAGAGTGCGTGTGCGGTCGGGAACTTTTTGAAAGCGTGTCGCTGCGCCGGTTCTTGCCCACCGTGCCTGTGTGCGTCACACTATCCACTTCGCGGTCCCGAGGCGTACACGTGCCGAGGCGAACACGTGCCGTTGAGCGGAGGGACATGCTATCCCCTCGCAGGTCATAGCTTGTCGCTGGGGCCGCCGTGGCGACACGCCGTGGTTTTGAGCGTTTCCGACCGCGTGCATAGATTCCTATTCTTATAGTTTTATTACCCGGGTCCCCCCCTTTAATCGGGACCCCCCCCCCAGGGACGCCTTGGACGCCCTTTCAGACGTCTCAGCGGCCCCCTGGACGCCCTTGGAAAAGCTCCGCTGACCCTTCCAGACCTCCCAGGGCGCTTGGCCGGGCCTTGCGAGCAGACTCAAGGCGATCAGAGGGGTCATCGGAGAGGCGCAAGAGAGACCCAAGACGGCACCAGAGCGCTCCAAGAGGAATTCGATGGTCTGAAGACGGCCCAAGAGGCCCCCAAGACGCCCCAAGAGAACCCCGAAGAAACAAAAATCGTCCCATTCCATTGGGAAAAAGTATAAGTGTAACATATCCGCTGTTTGGGACTTCGCAGCGTCCAAGACGGCCCGATGGGCCCCCGATATCGCCCCAAGGCGGCCCAAGAGGCCCCCCAGAGGGTTTGAAGACAGCCCAGAAGGTCCCCAAGACTGCCCCAGAGAGCCTTGAGACTGCCCGCAAAAAGCCCAAGATGCCCCCAGAAGGCTCCCAAGAGAGACCCACGAAAGCCGTGGGAGACCCCCAAGAAGCCACTGGAGGCCCCCAAGAGGGCCCTCAATGGCTTCAGAAGACCTCTGGAGGGCTCCAGCTCCCCAAGAAGGCCCCGGGACGGCCCAAGAGGGCCCCCTGGACGGCCCAAAAGAGCCCCCAAAACGCCCAGACGGCGCTTTCCTACGAAGTACATCGAGCTGACCCGACGATCTTGGTTCCACGCTTGAGGCTCGAGCTCTAAGTTCTTCGATCGAGAGAGACAGGCAATGGATCTAGATTCGAAGTTCGACGATCGAAGATTGTCAGAGTGCCTGGAGCCCTCCAGGCATTCAGGAAGCTACCAACAATCGGCTCGTTCGGGACTAGTGCGACTCATTTGGCGTGCCATGGGAACGCTCCTTACTTCGTCAAAGGACCTTCGCGCGTGGAAAACTCATCATTCTTTCCCCACTCCTGCGCACGAGAGTGCAAGCGCATCGGGCGAACGCGGTGTCAGCAGGCACCAGGGATATTAGAAAAATGAACCGGTCGCCCGTCCAGGTTTCGAGGCCCCCCCCGCTGAAGCAAGCGATGATTGACTGCTTTGCCTGGAAAGGACCAGAACAAAGCGCATGGCGCGAAGCGCCAATGCAGTCTTGTACATATATGTAATGTATATATACACGCATATGTGTGTGTTAGATGTATGTTTGTATGGCTGTCCCAAGTATCATACCTTTTTGCCTGCTACTTCGTATTAGTCATTCTGAGTCGTCGTCGTTATTCCTCCTCTCTCTCTCTTTCTCGTTTTTTTTCACTCGTTCTCTCTTTCTCTCTCGCATTACTTTCTTGCCTTCCCCTCTTCTGACCCGTTCGCCCCCGCGGCGCCTGCCCCCGTCCCAGGATGAGACCACGGCAGCGAGGAACAAAACACTGTAGGAAACAAGCTGCCCTGCACACAATCAAATAGGGAACAAACTCCGCCTCCGAGGGCGGGGAGGGGACGCATAGGAAAATATGTGTCCCCCCCTCTCCCACGGGACCATTTGTTTTTCGTTGTCCCCCGCCGCCCTCGGAGACTAGAGTCGTTGTTACCACCTCCCCCCTGTGTGCAGGACAAGTTTGTGTTCCATATGGTGTATGTTTTGGACATGCTCCCCAGCCCCTGGGCTCCCGCGGCACCCCTCTCCCCCCCGTCCCGGGACGAGCCGAGACCACGGACCGAGAGGAATCACACGAAACGCATGGACAACACTTGCCTTGCACAGGTGGTCGTTTTCTTGTCCATTGGTCTGCCGGTCGGCGCAGGCCCTCGTCCCCCCCCCCGATGGAGTAGATTTTGTTTGTTTTTGGCGCCTGCTGCGAGCAGGTGGATTTCGTCTCCCATAGGACACACTGTTGTAAATAGTCGTAGTCAGCTGATATCCGGAACCAGACCCCCCCCTCCTTCTCTCCAACCGCCCAATGTCGAAACGCCGGATAAGAAAACGTTCGCCAGGAGATGGGAGCATTATTCTGGTTCCGAGGGAAGAGGGAGTAACAAAAAGACACGTGCGCGCGCGCTCGCTTTCTCTCTCTCTCTCTCTCTCTCTCTCCTCTCTCTCTCTCTCTTTTGTTTGGTGTTCTCTATCTCTCTCTATTCCTCTCTCTTTCTCTCTTCCTCTCTCTTCCTCTCTCTCATTATTATAAGTTCTCTCTTTTTTTTTCTCTCTCTCTCTCTCTCCCTCTATATCGAGTTCCTTGGGATTGCCAGGACGTGTGCATATTGGATCACCTGGCGAAACAGAACGCACGAAATCGACAAATGCACGGGGAGTGGACGTCCGAGCGATGGCAAATTTTGTCCTCCAGATTTCAAAGGCCTCCTTGTCGTTGCGGCCCCCTTCCCCTCGCGGCGTGTCACAAAGGAGACCAGCCGCCCTCTTGTTCTGCCGGCCAGAGGGACTTGCGGGAGGGGAGAGGAGGGAGGGGAGGGGCACGGGCCATTCTTTGTTATCGTTCCTGCTCCGCTCCCGCAGACGGGAGTTTTTGAATCATTTCCCATGTGCTGGGCACGCTTCTTATGATGTGTCATTGTTTCGTGTGTTTCTGCCCTTCCGTTCCCGCGGCGCCTCCCCCCCGTCCCAGGACGAGACCACGGATCAAGAAAAACACCGGACAAACATAGGAACCACATTGCCTTGCACATGTACACATAGGAAACCACTCCGCTTCCGAGGGCGGGGGGAGGATAAAGCACTATTGCGTTTTTTTCAATGCTTGTTATCTCTCTCTCTCTCTCTGTTGTCTGTCTCTCTCTCTCTTGTCCTCCGTGTCTCTCTCTCTCTCTCTCTCTCTCTCTCTCTTTATATATATAGATATATACATATCCCTCCCCTCCAGAATACACAAACCTTTCTTGCCGTGGCGGCTCCCGAGAGGGATTCCTTTGGATGAGGAGAAGGGATGTTTTTCCCAAGAAGTTCTGCGCGGGAGCATCCCACGTAATAGTTGATAGTTGGGCCAGAAGCAACCAAACGCAACCAGCACATGCATTTGCAATTTCAGAAGTGAGTCAGAAAGCGAGAGAGAGAGAGAAATAGAGAGAGAACACGAGAGAGAGAGGGATAGAGAGAGAGGGAGAGAGACAGAGAAGAGAGATGGAAGGAGGGGGAGAGGGAGAAGGAGATGCAGGGAGAGAGACAAAGAGAGAAAGAGAGAGATAGAGGAAGGGCAGAGAGCGCGAACGGGCGTTTAGAGAGGTCGAGCCGGGCAGCGTGCTTCTAGTTCTTCGGCTCCGCGCTCGCCCCTCTGCTTCGCGGAAGGCCCAGAAGAAGATCCTGAACGGGCTCAACCTGACCATCCGGCAGGGGGAGACCCACGCGATCATGGGCCCCAACGGCTCGGGCAAGAGCACCCTCTCCAAGGCAGGGGCGAGGGGAGGGCTCCCGGCCTCTCTCGCCCGCCGCTTCTTTGCTAGTTTGAAACATATCCTTGTCCCTGTGTGTGGCATCACCTTACCTCGATGCCAATCTTAAGGATTCCCTCGGTCTCTGCAAGCACATCCCTAAGATTGTCCTCGCTTTTCGCTCGCCCGTCTTTGGGGTAGGGATCAGTTCGAGCCCAGTTCCCCGTCATGGCTCCGAGCCCCCGTTCCCGCCTCCGATGTGTTTGGCAACAAGTCATTGGAGCCTTGTATACCCTTCGAATTCCGTCTTTAGCGTCGACTCGCGTCGATTAGCGTTTGGGAGTCCATGAGAAAGCGCCGACTCAGCGTCGGTTAGCGTCGATTCACCGTCGATTTAGCTTCGATTTAGCGTCGATGTTAGCGTCGACTAGCGTCGACTCGCAATGGCCAACAAAATGGTGTGGGAGGCTCCCATGAGTTGCCACAGAAAATGCGGCGTCACCGGTCTCCGCTCGCGTCATCGGCATCCGTGCGAAGGCCGCTTGGGCCCTGGGGCGTCTGCAGGCATTAGGGTGTATGCCGCTCCCCGAAGCAGGAGAGGATCGAGCCGAGCTGCCGTGCCCCTAGCTGTGCGAACTGGAGTGCTCGGCTATCTGTCTCCTCACCCCGCCCACCTTTGAGTCAGTCGCGTCTGGGTCAGAGTGGGGGGCGCACCTGCCTCCAAGGGGCTCTGCAGGCGTGGCCCCGGGCGTCCAGTCGCACACCTGGCGCGTGCCGTTCCCCGAGTTCCTTAACTTCTCCCTCGCTGGTTGAACATCGGAGGGTGGTGGCATCTTGCAGGGGCTGCGCGGCACCCTGGGACGCATTGGCTTGTCAGACACATGACCTGCGAAGGAAGCCAAGATGATTTCACAGAGGGTGCATTATGGCTTGATGGATTAAATGCTGCGGTGCACATCTCTGGTGATCAATTCTGGGCCATCCGCCCCAGGCGCAAGTTCTGCACATGCGAACGCATTTGTTGCTCTTCCTCCTCATTCGTTTTCTCCTTCCGTCTTGGTCCCCTCTTTCGCCATCTTTTCCTTCTCCTCCATGACTTCTGCATCGCACAGTGGAGTCCCATGTCCCTTGGTCGGGAAGCTGGCAATGGTCATGATCATTGCAGTGGCTCGGGGGAAGAACGGTCCTCACAGAGGACGGTGGAACTGCGCGGGGGAGTGCGTCTGATTCGACTTCGCGGCTTGCGCGGCCGCCTGCTCGCGTGGGTACCCTTCTTCCGAGTCACGCTCTCAAGCGGGGAGGCCTGCCCCGTGGAGGGGGGAGGGCCCAGAAGGCCTCCAGAAACATTTGGAGGCCCAAAGATTGCCAAAGGCGCCCAAACACCTCGTTCCTCGAGTGATCGTTTCCATATTCGTTGGTTTGCCAATCGGCGCGGGCCCTCGCCCCCCCCCCCCCCCTCCCTGGAGTAGATCATGGCTGTTTTGGGCGTCTGTTTCGAGCAGGTGGAGTCTTCCCCATGATGGACGCACGGTTCCAAACAGCCGCACTAAGCAGGTCCAGAGCCAGACCCCCCCCTCTCCCCCCCCCATTCTGTCCAATGTCGAAACGCCGACTAAATAAATGCTCACCAAAGGGAAAGCGCGCCAGTGGATGGCCCTGAATACACAAAAGGAGGGATGTGCTCGCAGAACTCCCCCCCCTCCCCCCTTCAAAAGAGGGGGTGAGATTTTCGAGCCCCCCCCCTCCCCCCCCTTAGGGGGGGGGGGCATTCCGACCCCCCCCCCTCCCTGAAAGGTGTGGGGGGGGGTCCGGCCCCCCCCCCCTTCTCTCCTTGGCGCTGGAACGGGGGGGGAGGGTTCGAACCCCCCCCTCAACCCCCCTTTGCGCCAAACAGGGGGCTGGGGAGGGGGTAGTGCGTAGAGAGTAGAGTGTTTGAGTAGCGATTGGTGGGTAATTGGTATTTGATAGTGAGTCGTGCGCAGTGGGTCGTGAGTAGTGAGTAGTAAGTAGTGGTTCATGGGTAGTGGTAGTTGTGGGTATTGCGTAGAGATTTGTGAGTAGTGAGTAGTGGGTAGTGAGTAGAGGGAACGAAGCAGTGAGTAAGGAATTGTGAGTAGTGAGGAGTGAGTAGTGTGTAGTGAGTAGTGCATAGTGAGTAGTAAGCAGGGAGTAGGGATGATGGGGGTAGACAGTAGCGAATAGCGAAGAGTGAGTAGTGAGTAGTGAGTAGTGCGCAGTGAGTAGAGAGTAGTGAGTACTGAGTGGTGAGTAGCGAGTAGCGAGTAGGGAGAAAGGAGTAGCGGGTAGGGAGTAGCGAGTAGTGAGTGGTGAGTAGCGAGTAGTGCGTTGTGAGTAGTGAATAGTGAGGAGGGAGTAGCCAGGAGTCAGGAGTGAGTAGGGAGTAGTGCGTAGCGAGTAGGGAGTAGCGAGTAGTGAGTAGCGAGTAGTGAGTATGGAGTAGGGGGTAGTGACTAGTGAGTAGGAGAAGCGAGAAGTGGGTATTGAGTAGTGGGTGGCGAGTAGGGAGTAGCAAGTATAAAATTATGAGTAATGAGGTAGTGAATAGTGAATAGTGAGTAGCGAGCAGGGCGTAGTAAGTAGTCAGTGGTGAGGAGGGAATGGCCAGGAGTCAGTAGTGAGTAGTGAGTAGGGAATAGTGCGTAGCGAGTAGGGAGTAGCGAGTAGTGAGTAGTGAGTAGGGAGTAGTGAGTAGTGAGTAGTGAGTAGGGTGTAGGGAGTAGTGAGTAGTGAGTATTGAGTAGGGAGTAGCGGGCATAAAAGAAAGAAAGCGAGTAGTGAGTCGTGAGTAGTGAGTAGTGGGTAGCGAGTAGCGACTAGTGACTAGTGAGTAGGGAGGAGGGAGTAGTGAGTAGCAAATAGTGCGTAGTGGGTAGTAAGTATTTCGTATTGGGTAGCGAGTAGCGGATAGTGAATAGTGAGTTGTAGGGCGTAGTGAGTAGTGAATTGTGAGTACTCACTAGTAAGTAGTGGATAGTGGTTTGTGGGTAGTGAGTACGCGAGTAGTAAGTAGTGGGCAGTGAGTAGTTTTCAGTGAGTAGTGAGTATTGAGTACTGGGTAGTGATGAGTTGTGAGTAGTGAGTTGGGAGTAGTGAGTAGGAGTACTAAGTAGTGATTAGTGAGTAGTGGGAGCGTAGTGAGTAGTGAGTAGTGGGTAGTGAATAGTGCGTATTGGGTAGCGAACAGGGCGCAGGGAGTAGCGAGTAGTGAGTAGTGAGTACTGCGTATGGAGTAGGGAGAAGCGAGTAGTGGATAGTTAGTAGGGAGTTTTGGGCAGCGAGAAATGAGAGTAGTGAAGTGTGAGTAGTGAGTAGTTGGTAGTGGTTAGTGGGTAGTGAGTAGTGATTTATGATTAGTGAGTATTGGGTACTGAGGTTTTTTGTTGTGACTAGTGCGTATTGAATAATGGGTAGTGAGTAGTGCATAGTTTGTAGTGAGTACTGAGTAGGGAATGGTGAGTGGCGGGTAGTGGTTAGTGAGTCGTGGATAGTGAGTAGTGAGTCGTGCGTAGTGAGTAGTGAGAAGTGAGTAGTGAGTAGCGAGCAGTGAATTGTGGGTAGTAGTGAGTACTGTTTGGGGCTAGGGTTTGGGGTTCTGGTTATGAGCTAGGGTAAGGGTCAGGATTAGTGTTCGGGGTGGTAGGGGTCGGGGTCGGGAGGCCGGGGGCGCCGTGGCGAAAGGGGGGGAGGGGGGAAAGGGGGGGGGGCCGAATTTGGCGGCCAACGGGGGGGAGGGGGGGGGGGCGGACACCCCGCCCCCTTTTGAAAGGGGGGGCGGAGGGGTCCCCGACGACGGACCGGGAAGGGGGGGGCAGAGAGGGGGGTCCAGACGACGGATCGGGAAAGGGGGGGAAGGGGGGGGGGTCCCCGACGACGGATCGGGGAAAAAGGGGGGGGAGGGGTCCCCTCCCCCCCTCGGAGACATCCAGCGGCGCGCCCTCCACCAAAGGCGCCCAAACACCTCGTTCCTCGACCCTGATCTCCGCACCAATCTCTGCCTGCTTCCCCTTGCCAGGCGCGGTCCGTTCAATAGCAGTGTCCTGATCCGACTTTAGCTGGGTCAACTCAGTCGCAGAACCACTCTTGTATTACTTCTCGAGTCTTTTCGTGCCGCTGGCCCTTGACACGGACACCGCCACCGCTTTTCAGAGGTATTCCGCGACCGACGCACCCGGCCGGTGCAACGACATGAGTGCACACTCGTCGGAAGTTGCTGACCTCATTGTGACTGCAGCGAGGTTAAACAATCGATCCTCGATCCCCTCGAGCGGGCAGCCCCTCCCCCCGAGCTCGAGGTTCTCATCGGCGACTCGTCCTACGAGGTGCTGGGGGGCTCCGCCACGTTCGGCACCGAAGACCTCTTCGGCATGGAGCCGCACGAGCGGTCGCAGGCAGGAGCCAGAGCGGCATCCACTCCCCGTCCCGACGCGGCGGCGAGGATCGGCCTCACGAGGGTGCGACCTTTGCATCGAGTTTCGCGTTTTGGGGCCTCCAGGGAGGCCCTCGCCGCCGCGGCTGCAATGTTTTCACGCCGGGCGCCCCAGGGAGCCTGGCGTTGCAACGTGTTCACACCGGACGTTTTCGCACAGCTTCGGGCCGCGGGGCCCTCACGTGTCGATGCGGTTCGAGAAAGAAGCAGGAAGATGGGGTCCGAGGCGCTCCTCCTCCTCCTCCTCCTCCTCCTCCTCCTCCTCCTCCTCCTCCTCCTCCTCATCTCCTCCTCCTCATCTCCTCCTCCTCCTCCTCCTCCTCCTCTTCCTCCTCCTCCTCCTCCTCCTCCTCCTCCTGATGTTGCAGCTTTTTGGTGATGTCTGCACTTTTTTGTTGCAACGCCGGATCTCAGGGCCTCGGGATTTAGGGCAGGAGACACCCCCGGGACAGGTCTGGGGAGTTGCGGCATCAGTATGTTTTGGTTCCCCCTGCGTGCGCCACCACCATGGGTGGCCAGGGCCAGGCATGATGTCAGGGGCAACGTCAGGGGGGAAAGGCTCAGGGCGGGGGGGGGGGGCGGGGCGGATGCATCGACCCCCATCCGCCAATGATGGGGCCGTGCCGTTCTGGGATTCGCATGACGTATGATGGCCGTCTTGGGGCCCTCTGAGCCATCTTGAGCCCCACTGGTCCGTTTTGAGAGTCTTCTGGGGTCAATCTGGTTCGACTTGAGCCCATCTTGGGCTGTGTCGGGGCCCTCTAGGGCCACTGGGCCCATGAAGGGGCTCCACTTTGGCGTCGTAGGTCTCTTGGGGGCCTCTTGAGCCGTCTTCGGCGACCGACAGGGCAAGCAAACCAAGCTCATACACAGACCGACGAACAAATTTAGAAACCTCTGCCGGAGACACGCTGCAGCCTCAAGCCAAAAGCTACGAGGCCCCTTGACTAGCCGCTGCGGGTGTGCGGCTGGTGAGCCCACCTGGCCGGCTTCCTCTCGACCAACGCCCAGCAGCTCTCAGCGAGCTGCCCAGGAAGCTCGCAAACGCACAGGCGCGCGGGCGCGCGGGCGCGCAGGCGCGCAGGCGCACCGGGGTCGTGCGGGTGCACGGGTGCGCGGGCGCGCAGGCGCGCCTCGGCGCGGGAACACGGCGGACGCGCGGGCGTGCGGGCGCGCGGGCGCGCGGGTGCGCGGGCGCGCGGGTTCGCGGGCGCGCGGACGTGCAAGCGCCGTGCTGCAGCGTGCGAGCTTGCGGGGCCTTCCCACGAGCCGCGCCCGAACCCGGGAGGCGCTCCGTGGGAGCTACGGGAGTGCTCCCAGCGCGCGCATCTTGGAACTGCATGGGAAGCGCTTGTGGAATACGCTGCGAGTTCAAGTTCAAGCGAGCTGTTGCGGCGCGCTTCCCGAGCGGCAGCTGTAGGAGTGCAACCGGCCGTTTTGGATCTTACCATAAAAGGAGGGTGCTCTGATTTTGAGCTGTCTGGGAAGGCTCCTGAGCGTGGACCAAGGGCCGCCCTTTCATGGCTGGTCTTGGGGGGTCTAAAACTGCTGGTCTGGGTGGGTTGCGACCTGTTCTCTGTCACTGCGATGTGTGGAGCAGCCCAGCCAGCTGGCCTCTCTGCTCGGCGGCGGAGCCCACAGTTCCGGCAACTCGACGAGCGGCGGCGGGGGTCGGGGTCGGAATTCGCCGAGCACGCTGCACAGCACTGTGTGCAGCACCGCCTGCACGCCAGCTCCGGAGGAGCAGCCCCGCAGTGGGGCAGGCGGCGGCCGTGGTGAAGCATGCCGGGTGGAAGCTGGAGCGCTGAGCATGCTGCGAAGTCCGAGCCCCACCGCCGCCTCCCACAGATTCAGGAGAATCGATGGCTGGTGGTAGAGGAAGAAACGCCCTGAACAGAAGCTTTTGGCGCTCCGCGCGGATTTCTTGGATCCGCGCTGGGCCCCCCCCCCCCCGCGGCGCCTCCGGCGCCGCCCCTGGCGCGATCCAGGGGTCCAGCGCACATCCAAGATATCCGCGCGGGGCGCCAACAGTTGATGCTCATGGCGTTTTCCTTTCTAGGCTTCGGGCGCCTTCACATCCAAAGGCCACCGACGGCCTGGACCAGGCCAGCCGGGAGCGCTCTCCGCTCTCGGGTGCGGGGGGCAGCGTCGGGGGGTGAGGCCGGGCTTAAGTTGGGCACGTCCTCTGCAGGAGGAATGTCCAAAAATAGTCCGGGGACGGATTTTTTGATCCATGTCTTGGTATGTTATGCTCAACATATCTTCGTCCAAGGTATACGCCTGCAGGAGGACAGGACATGCCCGGCCTGAGACCAGGCCAGCCGGGGGCGATCTCCGCTCCCGGGCTCGGGGGCAGCGTCCGGGGGGGAGGCTCGGCTCGGGGGAGGCGAGGCCTCGACTCCCCCGAGTCGCCCCCCGCACTCCTCGGCGGCGGGGGCCCGGGAGCCCGTCCCGCCGAGTCGCGCCCCGCACTCCTCGGCGGCGGGGGCCTGGGAGCGCGTGCGGGTGTCGCCGCCGCGTCTGCGCGCTGCGCGCGCGAGCTTCGGTTCTGCTCGAGGCCGCTCGGCGCTCCTTCTTGTTTGAAGCTGCGCGGACAGAGACTTGGGTCGGTGGACTGTCCCTCTCCAGGAGGAGTCTTCAAACATAGTCGAAACATGATTAGTCTGGAGACGATGCTTGGACTATTTCCCTACCTAGGCTCTGCCTAGAGGGTTCTTACTCTCTTAGCTTAAAGGGGCCGGGCAGTGCAAAGCGCCCCGGGCGGTTCCCCCAGTCCCCGCCCCGCGGTTCCCCCAGTCCCCTGGGAGCTTTAGCTTTAGCTGTAGCTTTAGCTGTAGCTTTAGCTTAGCTTTAGCTTAGCTTTAGCTTAGCTTTAGCTTAGCTTTAGCTTAGCTCTACCTTAGCTCTGTCTTAGCTTTAACTTAGCTTTAGCTTAGCTTTAGCTTAGCTTTAGATTATCTTTAACTTAGATTTAACTTAGCTTTAGTTTAACTTTAGCTCAGCTTTACCTTAGCTGTAGCTGAGCTTTAGCTTAGCTTCAGCTTAGCTTTAGCTTAGCTTTAGCTTAGCTTTAGCTTAGCTTTAGCTTAGCGTTAGCTTAGCGTTAGCGTAGCTTTATCTTAGCGTTAGCTTAGCGTTAGCTTAGCTTTAGCTTAGCTTCAGCTTAGCGTCAATTTAGCTTTATCTTAGCGTTATATTAGCGTTAGTTTAGCTGTAGCTTAGCTGTAGCTTAGCTTTAGCTTAGCTTTAGCTTAGCTTTAGCTTAGCTTCACTGTTACTACTAATGCTGCTTTCCTAGGGGCTCCAACTCCTAGGTAGGGTCACACTGGGATAATGTTTGACTATGCTTGAACATGTTTTGACTATTTTCTATCTCCCCTCCAACATCTGCCTGTAGGGGGACATGCCCGACCTAAACATAGATCAGATGATCGTTGCGTCCTAGCCCCGCGGTCCTCCTCTACCGTCCTACGGCCGCGCTGCGGCGGCGGCTGCGACGGCGGCGGCAAGGGAGGCCGAGGTCGATGGCGCATGGGGAGAGCAGGGCTCATGTCGATCCCTCCGCTTTGATCTCGATGGCCTCCGCTGCCGATTCGATTCGCTCTCGGATTCCGATTCGGATTCCGACCGATTTCTCGGTGGAGGCATGCTGGCCTGCCGATTTCTGCCGATTCGATTTCTCCCGAGTAGGCTGCCGATTTTCGCCGATCCGACTCATTTCGATCGCCGATCCGATTTACCGTTCGATTTTGGGCTCGCCTGGGAGCGGGGGAGAAGACGAGGAGGCGCGCCGCTAGAGGAGTGCAAGCTAGGAGGCGCCGTTTCGCCGAGGCTTCTCTTGGCTCTGGCCTTCTCGCTCTCCTCGCCCACTCTTCGGCTGCCGCTTCCCCTTGGCCGCTCGTCATGCAGAGAGCGGGTCTTGGAGGAACGGGGCCCTCGAAGTTTTTGTTTCGCCGCGTTCGGGCTCGCGGGGCACTGCATGTGCCCTTGGACCGTCAGACAGCGCTCCGGGATGCAGTCCCAGGTCCTGAGAGGACCCGCGTCGCCATCGTCGTCGTCGTCGTCGTCGTCGACAGCGTCGTCGTCAGCGTCGTCAGCGTCGTCAGCGTTGTCAGCATCGTCGTCGTCGTGGTCGTCGTCGTCCTCGTGGTCCTCGTCGTCCTCGTCTTCGTCGTCGTCGTCGTTGTCATCGTCGTCGTCGTCGTCGTCCTCGTCGTCGTCGTCGTCGTCGTTTTCGTCGTCATCGTCATCGTCGACGGCGGCATCGTCGGCGACGTCGACGGCGCCGGCGACGGCGGCTTGCAACGACGCCGACCGGCCACGGACGCTTCGGCGGCCGACGGCCGAGGAATGGGCCACGAGGCCAGGCCGGCGGCCGGGTCCTGCCGTGGTTACCCACGATCGGTGCGAAGACGGTAGCGCTTCACGCCTCGCGGTCTGGTCCACAGAGAGTTGCGATTTCGGAGGCCCAGAGGTGGGCGCCAACACCAATTTCGGCGGTGTGCCTTCACCGAGGGAAGATGCTCCCGATCTCGGTGATGGTGGTAATACTCGGGCTCTCTAGGTGGCCGAAGTATTACCACCAACACCAAAATCTAGGATCATCTTGCCCCTGTGGAGGCAGCCTCCTGTGTTGGTGTCGGTGCCCATTTCCAGGCCTCCAAAGTTGCTCTTCCCCAGGGTGGCCGCGCGAGAGCGAGGCGGTGACCGTGAGTCACCCCTCGGGCCGCGATGATCTGAAGGTGGCGCCACCCCAACATACTAATGCTAGGTGTGCGTCGTGCCCCCCCCCCCCCCGAAGGGGGGGCGCGCGCCGAGAAATCTTGTAGTGTAAGCTCCGTGGCGGGCGTTTCCTGGCCACACCGCTGGGGAAACGATCTGCTGCAGGATTTTGTATCAACTGCATTGTTCGTGTCGGACGCGCGCCTCCAACGGAGGCTCATATAGTGCGTATGTCCTTCTGTGCCCCCTGGAGCGCCCTGCTCCGCTCGTCTGCGTCTGGTCCTCCCCCGCCCCAGTTTCCTGTCCTCGCCGATATCCGCCGCGCAAGGCCGGGCTGTTCCTGGCCTTCCAGTCTCCGCCGGCGCTCCGGGCTCTTGAGAAGCATGAGCAGGGGCGCGTGCGCGATGGCCTGGCACTTTCTGAGGGGCGCGGCGGAAGGGCTGGCAGTTTTGAGATTCTGGGTTTGATGTGTTTGTGTTGCCTTTCCCGGGCTCAGCGGGCAGCTTTCGGGCCCCGGGAGCGTCGAAAACGCATCGGGGGTGAAATACTGCGCCAGATGCATGCCAAGAGGGGTCCGGGGACAGATTTTGAGCGCATTTGGCCTCATGTTTCCTGGGGTGCCTCCATGACCACGAACGCCATGACTTGTATCTTGCTGTATGGGATCTCGGCCACTTCGCCATGCCCCCATCAGGGGCGACGTTATGGGGGAAAGGCTGAGGGGGGTATCGGGGGCCTATCGCCGATCTGTCGGCGACGTATCACCGAATGTACGTCACCGTTTTCCCCCGGTGAGCCAATCCCCCTTAGCGTTCCCCCTCACCCAGGGACGATGACAGATTCACCTGTCTTCAGAGAGCTGGGAGCGCCCTGCGCTGGCTGGACAGCGCGGGTGCGCGCGAGGAGTCTTCTTCTTTCAATGCAGTTCATCGCCAGATGGGAAGACCCCACGCTCTTGGGCATGCAGCATGCAGGGGCCGCCCCGGCTGGCTGTGTGCTCCGCAGCGATATGCACTGTGGTTCTTGATCAGGCAGGGAGACGCATCTTCCCTCTTTCGCCCCCCACTGGGACCCCAATTTGTTCCCCTCCTCCTCTACATCCCTCTCCCCCGACCCATTGGCCCGACGCCTTTTTCGTACTTTTCCGCCGCCTCATTTTCTCACATGTCCTCTCATGCTGAAATTCCCAGTGGTTCCATGCAGCCTGTTGTTTTTCAGCGGGCTGCGCTGGCGAACAACGACGCTGGCCTCTCCGCCTCAGAATGGCTGGCCCAAGGGTGCCCTTCCCGACGCGTTCTGGCACGCGGGGGGTACGGATGCTGTCTGGCTAGGCTTGGGGGACGGTGGACCGCAGATCTTCGGGCTGGAGGCCGCCCGAGTGGCGGATGGGGGCGTTCACAAGCAGCGCCCATAATTGGGTGGCGCGAGGGGGCGGCACTCTAAAAAGGCAGCGGGGCTTCGAAGAAGGCATGGGGAGCTTCTTAGAAGCCCGTGCAGCTTCTGCGAAGCCTGCTTAGAAGCCTGCGGGGCCTCCTGAGGAGCCCTCCGCTTTAAAGAACCCCACCCGCCTTCTCGCCATCGCGTTGTGGGTGCCAATGTCATGGAGAAGGAGCAGGATCACCCCTCCCGGAAGAGGAAGAAGGGAACTGCCCAAGGGGCTTGGTGGGAATAGGTTTCCACGCCGGGACGCGAGGATAGACTCGCTTCGCGCGTCTTTGTTT